TGTGCTCAAAGTCCCAGCTGTGAGAGATTGTTTGGAATTAAGCCCCCAACCTGTCTGAAAATGTAGCTTCGCTACCAGTCTTATGGTCTGAAGGAGATGCATGACGGGTCAAAGCCCAGTGTGTCTGACCGGTCTCCCATCTCTGAACGTGTCGCACCCATGGCCAGAAGAGCCTCTGCCCTAGCACCTTGCCTGTAGGCTAGTGAGGTGGGGGAAGGGCAGTGGGTCCTAAGCCTCCCCTCCTGTCCCCCCATAGCTGCAGGGGAGAAGAAGATGATGAGTGCTCAGGCCCACTGTCTTTCAGACGTCCTCTTTCTTGACGGCTTCTGCTTCCAGTACATTGAGGACAGCCTGAGGTACAAGAAAGCATCTGTAAGTGTTTTGTAGGAAAGACTGTAGCTGGGGGTAGGAGGTAGCTGCAGGGACAGCCACAGAGAGCCCACTTCTGGCTTAAGAGGCCCCCTCCCCATCCTTCCTGCCTTCTCCTGGCCCCTGTCCTGTTCATTCGGGCTCTTTGCCCCATCCTCCAAGTGGTACCTGAGCTCTGAGCACTCCAGTCTCTCCCAGGGCTTCCAGGAGCCTTTTCAGAGCCAGGTGCTGTAGCGGCTTGCTTCCCCCCTTAGTGGTAGGCCTGAGCCCTGGCCCATTCTCTCCTTGGCCCTGACCACCTGGTGAATGCTGAGGCCAAGCTGCCCTTGGAGCATGGATGCAGGCCACATGCAGATATACAAGCCCCTGCACCCCTAAGTGGAAGGGAGATCCCAGGCCCTGATCCAGGCTGTTGTTAGCAGCCAGGTGTGATCAAGAGAAGCCTTGTTAGGCTCCTAGGGAGCGGTGTCGAGCATGGCTCCACCGGGAAGGGGCATCCCTGTGCCAGATGGGTCAGACTGGGATGATGCAAAAGGCAATAGGGCGGCCTTCAAAGGGATTGCTGCTCAGACACATGACTGGCTGCAAATGAGGGGCGGGGGCCCAGAAATTGCAACTGAGAATGAGGTGAGGGGAGCCTCAGCCACAGCTGAGGATCGGCAGGGCAGCCCTGAGGGTTGGGGCTGCAGATCTGCTCAGCTCTACCCAGGAATCCAGGTGTAGAGAAGGTTTGGGGTGGGGCCAGGGGAATTGGCAGGGGTGGTGAAATTTACCTTTTTCAGAAACTGTTGGAACCTGAGAAGTGGCTACCATCCCAAATGACCCCAAACTGCAAATAATTGCTAACTTCCTCAAGGACATCACTGACGCCCCAGAGATTGGGATTGGGCTCCGCCAGGCCCAAGTAAGTATGTAAGTGCTTTCTGTGCCCCCTTAATCTACTGAGCTCTGCTCTCAGCTGTCTGATTTCCCCAGGACCTGAGTTGGCAATGGGCCAATGAGAGCACACTTAATTACGTGGTGTGGCAACGTGGCTTCCCAGAACAGTCCAGCAGAAGCAGCTGTGCTGTGTTGAGCATCAGGGTAGGTGAGTGAGCCCACAGCTGGCCTCAGGCCTCCCTGGCCATTGCCATCTTCTCTGTCCTGCACAGCCCTCCCTCCAGGCTTTCTTAAGGTCTTGTCTGCCTGTCTACCTCAAGGAGGTCCCTGAGGTCAGTCTGCAGACACTGCCAGTCCATCACCCTTGGCATGATTAAGGTGGGCTCACTGATCCCAGGAACATTCACCTTGGTGTAATGTCTACTCAGTTCAGAGCTGCCACTGAACCCTGCTGTAAACGCTGACCTAGGTCACTCGTGACTCCAGAAGACCTGTGCCAGGGAGGGCAGGAGCTATGGGATACAGGGGAGCCAAAGCAACACTCAGCTCTGGAGAGAGGATGGCCCACTGACCTCATGTATTTACATATACAACTATTATTAGCAGCGCTTGTCCACAAAGTGTGAGAAGGCATAGGAGCTTGTGCTGGCACAGGGAGACCCCAAGTGTCCCCAGTCTCTTTCCCTTCCATTCCAGACCTTGCTTTGGGGGTGGTCACTCTAGCTGTGCCCTGGAGGTGAGCCATGGTGGGGAGGTTGCAATCCCAGGATCTCAGGGATGCAGCAACCCAGAGAGGGAGAGGACACTCTTGGGGGACTTTTGTAAAATGCTTCTGGGGGTAGGAGAGAGGAGGCAACAAGGGTCTCTCAAAAGTACATGTTTAAGGGTATGAATGAAGTTAGAGAAAAGCTGGAGACAGGGAAGAGCAAGAAGAGAAGGAATGAAGAGAAGGGGAGGAGGAGAAAGAAGGTGAAATCAAGGAAAGAGGAGGAGGGCTGGTTAAATAGATGATGGATGGATGGATAGATGATACCGAGATGGATGGAGGAATGGATAGATAGTTAAATTGACATATGGATGGATGGATGATACACAGATGGATAATAGGTAGATGGATGGATGGGTAGAAGTATGAATAGATAGATGATGGATAGATAGATGGATAGAGGAATGGATGGATGGATGGATGGATGGATGGATAGATGGATGCATGGATGGATACATAGATGGATGATGGGTAGAAGTATGAATAGGTGATGGATAGATGGGTGGGTGGATAGAAAGATGGATGGATGGATGGATACATAGATGGATAATGGGTAGATGGATGGATGGATAGCACTGTGCTGAACACTGCCACTCAGACACAGGGCCGTACAAACGCAGGCATCCTGTGACTCCTTGGCCACTGAGAATTTATCCATAAACATGTTTCTTCCTGAGCCCACTAGATGCTCAGCCAGGCACTTGAAAGGACAAGGTGGCAATAGCGTGAGCCTGCTTTGTCTTCCACACCCTGCCCCCACCTCTCATTGGGCAGGTGGCCAAGGCATTCTGTGTTCCCAGGTTTCAGTTTCCTCCTTGGTCTACTAAGGGGCTTGAGGGGAGCTGACAATTGGGAACCCCCTCCCAGCTCTGACCATGAGGGCATCTGGGGCCAGGGAAGTGAGACTTGTCAGGCCTGGATAATCAGGGTGGGCTCTGTGGAAGAAGTGTGGGGTGTGCACTGGAGAATGGCCTGAGTCCACACAGGAAGGGCATGGTGCTGGGAAGACGCTGCTTGGCTCCAAGCGTGGAAGGCAGTGGTAGGGCAGCCTGATCTCTGTCTCTCCGGTACTTCTGGGCCAGGGATGTGGAGGGGGGACAGCAGCGGCTCCAAGGTGAATGGAGGGGTGGCATGGAGGCCATCATCCCTTGGAAGGCAGGCCCCTGACCCAGAGGGCCACAAAGGCCATCTCCCCCCTCCCCAGGCCACGGGTGCAGGCCTGATTCCCTTTCACTTTGCAGGTGTCCAGACAGGCTGGCTGGTTCACAACTGCAGCTCCCCTAGACCCCTCCTCTGTCGGTATTTGTTGTAGAACAGGCTGGGGACTGGGCCCCTTCCTGTGAGGAGCCAGCCATCCCCATGTGTGCTCATGTGTATGCCTGTCCTGCCAAGCTGCTTCTCCAGGACCATCTCTCGTGTAGGGGACCCTACACTGATCTTGGCCCTGGCACTCCCTGTGTGTGTGCGCGCCCTTCTTCCCCACCACCATCTCCTGGCAGGGGGTGTGGGGGAGTCTTCTTGCTCACCTCTGCATTTGTGACCTGACAATAAACTGCCTATGACAAAAAAATCACATCTCTGCCTTCTTCTGTCTGCCCCTACCATGACCCCAGAGGGCTCTCACAACTGCACGGGATGCCAGCTGGAGTCTGCCATGACAAGCCCCGCCTCTGAACAAGCTCCTGCACTCAGGCTGGAAATATTCCCGTGAGCCATGAGTGGCCACTGGGCTCCCATGGAGTCAGCTCTGGCTCTAGGATGCCAGCATCCAGAAGGGCAGTCCTGCTGTCCTCTGCCCAGGTCTGGGCTTACGGGCACTGCCGGCCCCTGGGAGGGGCATGGATAAGCTGGGGATAAACCCAGACCAGGCCCTCCTCTGTGGGAGAAGGTAGAAGCTGGGCTCATCTCCCAATATGGATGAGGAGAGAGAAAGGGAGAGAATTAAGGACAGGGAGAGAATGAGAAAGAAGAGGAGGGAGAGAGACAGAGAGACAGAGAGGGAGACAATGAGAGAGGAGACAGAGAGACACAGAGAGATAAGACAGAGACAGAACCAGAGAGGGACTGACAGAGACAGGGAGAGAGACAGATGGGGGAGACAGACACGGAGAGAATGAGAGAGGGGAAAGGGAGAGATTGAGAAAGAAGAGGAGACAGACACAGGGAGAGAGGGAGAGACAGATGGAGAGAGAGACAGAGATGGGGAAACAGACGGAGACAGAATGAGAAAGAAGAGGAGAGGCAGAGAGAAAGACAGACGGAGAGAGACAAAGACAGGAGACAGATACAGAGACAGAGGCAGGGAGAGAATGAGAGAGGAGACAGAGAGATAGGACAGAGACAGAGAGAACGAGGGAGGGAGAGAGAGAGAGAGAGAGAGAGAGAGAGAGAGAGAGAGAGAGAGAGAGAGAGAGGGAGGGAGGGAGGGAGGGAGGGAGGGAGGGAGGGAGGGAGGGAGGGAGTGAAAACTCAGGCTACGTCCTGGATAAAAGACAACTATTTCAGGACTGCTAACTCCATGATCGTGACAAAGTCAGCACAGAGCTGCCGATATCCTGCGCTAACTTTTTGAGGATCATCGCCGACCCTTTCCCCGCAGGTATTTGGTACCTCCTGCCCTCCGTGATGCCTTCAAAGACGCTCCTCCAACGATTTCAGACCCCGACTTCCTCTGACTTGGCTCAGCTGTTCTTTCCAGCTCCGTCTTTGCTCATGCTGGACAGCTGGGCTCGAGGCGTTAAGAGACAGTTGGGGCACTTCTCTTTCTCTTCTTTTTTTCTCTCTCTCTCTCTCTCTTTCTTTCTTTCTTTCTTTCTTTCTTTCTCTCTCTCTCTCTTTCTTTTCTTTCTTTTCTTTCTTTCTTCTTTCTTCTTTCTTTCTTTCTTTCTTTCTTTCTTTCTTTCTTTCTTTCTTTCTTTCTTTCTTTCTTTCTTTCTTTCTTTCTTTCTTTCTTTCTTTCCTTCCTTCCTTCCTTCCTTCTTTCCTTCCCACAGAATCCCAGCAGTGGCTAGATTATAAGAATCCCAGCCTTCTCTTTCTCTTCTGTTGTTGTCCTTCCTCCATTTACATCCATAAGGGCTCTTGCGGTGATTGACTTTAGCCGGGGGTCAAGGCAAGCTATCTGAAAACTCCATTTTGTGGGATGATGAAAGAGGATTTTCTGTAGTCATTTTGGGCTTCCTGGTGTGTTGATGACTGGGTAACTCTCCCATTTCCCTTCTGTGTGCTCCCATCCCTTCCCTAGATCACAGCCTTCATTTCTTAATTTAGGGACTAAAACTATATAGCAAATTGAGGGCATTTTTCAATAAACCCAAAGGGTTTGTGCCTTCAGGTCCAAAGAACCGATGGAACTAAGAGGACCCAAGGGGCCCAGGCTTTTTTGAATGTCCCTCCTGGGCTCCATTTTCACCTCATAGCTACTCACATGTAGAGGAGATGAACCTGCAGGCCCTTTGGCACCTGGAAGAATGGGCTTCCACCCTGATGGCCTCACCTGCACATCACAACTGAACAGATCATTCCATTCCCCCCTCCTTCTTCCTGAAAATCAGGAAACACTAGGCTATTTTGATGATTATATTACTGTCTCTATGGTACGATAGATAAGAACTCAAGAATCTGAGATCTAGATATCAGCTAATCCAGCTTCTTTGTTTTACAGAGGAGGAAATGGCACCCACAAGGCTTAGGTGACTTGTCCAGGATCATCCAGGTATTTAGCATCCAAGGCAGCATCTGAAGTCTCATTTTGCATATGAGGAAACTGAGTCCCCAAGAACCTCTCAGCCTTCATCTCTTTCCCCTCCCCTGTTAAATCTGGTGAGTCACCTCTGCTTGTGTCCTGTACTTTGTCCTCACCCACTCATGTTTTCAGCTCCTTGTCATCTGACCCAGCACTCAACTAAACTTGTTCTTTCCATGGTGACCGATGAACTGGTAACTCTTATAAACTGGTCACCCCTGATGAATCCTCATTCTCTTCAAACTATATCCAACTTCTTACTCTTGTGGTCACCCCTGTCTCCCATACACTCTTTCCTCCCTCAGTTTTTGTGAGACTTCTAGGGACCTGATATAGTGGATAGGCCTGGAGTCAGGAAGACCTGAGTTCAAATCTAGCCTAATACCAGTTGTATAACCCTGAGCAAATTACTTAACTTCTGTGTGCCTCAATTTCCTCAGTCATAAAATAGCAATAATAATAGCACCTATCCCTCAGACTTAGTGTAAGGATCAAATGAGGTAATCTTTTAAAAGCGATTAACACAGTGCCTGGCACATAGTAGGTGCTTGTTTTCTTAATCCTTTCCTTTGTATTCCTGGTTCTGCTGCCAAGAGTCAGCCCACTCCTCTTTCTCTTATGCCGAATAATCTTGCATTTCTATTTGCTGAAATGTGGGTAACAACCCCAAAGATTAAGTCAGGGATCCTTATGTCCTCTTTGCATTCTTTCAGTAATTCCATCAGATCCCATATGGTTCAGCTAAGTCCACGGAATGATCCTAAATTTAAATGTCCAGCCTTAATATTTCTCCTGATCTCCAACGTCATACCAACTGCCTGCTAGGGGACAACATGGGACCGTCACCTTCTGATAGATGGTCAAGTCTAAGGTGGAACTCGTCATATATGCCCCTCCCCCATGCAGCCCATTATTCAGATCTCTGTTTCGCTTGAGGGGATTGCTAAGTGGCCAGTGTTCACAACTCAAGGGCATCCTTAACTCTTTCCTTTTGTTCTTCTTCCTTATCTAATCAGATGCCAAGTTCTGAGCTTTTTACATTAACAGCACCTCACTTTTCTCTCCACCCATGTGACCATCACTCTTCACTCCTGACTCTTCACTCCTCACTCCCACTATTGTGGAAGCCTCCTAATCGGCCCACCTGCTTTGTAGTCTTTCTCGTGCAACCCTCTCTCTTGACAGTGGCCATCTGGATAATTCCAAGACACAAGTCAGATCATGGCTCACTATGTTCCAACATGCCAGCCACCCCATGAATACATGTCACAGGCAGACACAAAGTACTATTCTGATGCCTGATCTGAATGCAGACACTTACTAGCTGTGTGATCCTGGGCAAGTTACTTAACCCTGTTTGTCTCAGTTTTGTCTTCTACAAAATGAGCTTGAGAGGGAAATGGTAAACCACTCCAGTATCTTTTCCAAACTCCCCCCCCCAAAACCAAAACCAAATGGTCTCATAAATTATTGGACAAAACTGAACAACACTGAGGTTTTCTAGTATCACATATTACCAGTGTGAAAGAGAGAACACGACTGATAAACAACTATATTTTTAGAAGAGCCCTGAAAAATCATGACCAACCATGATTTTAGAGGAGTTGTGATGAAATCTGTGAAATGCCTCCTGACAGGTGTCATGGACTCAAGGTGCAGACTCAGATTAATTTATATTATATCATATTCATCATATATATGTCATAGATGTCATAAATATATCATATTTATATTATATCATATATACATATGTGTGTGTATGGGTGTATGTGTGTGTGTATGGACAAAGTAGGACTTTGGGTTAACTTTTGATAATTGTTAAAAGAGATATTTTTAAACTTTAGAATGTAGGAAAGGAATAGATGGACAGAAAGAAAATAGATATTTATTGGAAAAATAAAATTAATTGGGGAAAAATTTTATAGACAGTTTCTCAAATATATAGAGAACTTTGTCAACTTTATAAGAATATAAGTCATTCCCAATTGATAAATGGCCAAAGGATATGAACAGACAGATTAATATGAAAAGTACTCTAAATCATTATTGATTAGAGAAAGGCAAATTAAAACAACTTTGAAATATCATCTCACACCTATTGGATTGGCTAAAATGTTAGAAGAGGAAAATGACAAATGTTGGAAGGGATGTGGAAAGATTGGGGCACTAATATACTGTTGGTGGAGCTGTTAACTGATCCAGCCATTTTGAAGAGCGATCTAGAATGAGGCCCAAAGAGTGACAAAACTGTGCATACACTTTGATCCAGCAATACCACCCACCATTAGATCTGTTTCCCAGAGTCCGAGGTCAGGAAGACCTGCATTCAAGCTTTGCCTCTGACCAATCCCAGCCATGTAGCTTTGGGCAGGTCACTGCCTCTCAGAGTTCTGGGCAATACTCTTAAGACTTTAAGTTGCAGAGAAAGTATTGACCTACAGTAGGATGGGGAGCCTCCTCCTCTGAGATTTTCTTATATCAATACAATCCCAAGTTCAGAACAACAACTTAAAAACAAACCCACTTCCTTCCAATCTCAGCTCAGGTCATGCCCCAGTCCCCCCATGGAATTAGCCCTTTTCATGTCCTCTCTTCACATGAATGCACATTAAATTATCTGTGTAGGTTTTGTTACACATCTCTTCCTTCTGCCCTAACCCAAGAGAATGTGAAGTCCTGCATGGCCAAGGCTATTTTACTTGTGGTTTTGTGCCCCTAGTGCCTAAAATATAGTAGGTACTGAGTAAATCCTTGTTAATTTAAATGGAAATTACTTTAATTTTTGATTTCATATGATAGTACATGTTTCTTTCACTGAGCTAAACCTGAGGAGAATGAAATATGTTGAGACAGAAAACAATACTCAGAATTACGTGTTAGGTCATTGCAACACTCTCTCTGGCATATGCCGGTAACTTGCATTCACACACAAAGATTGTGTGGCTGCAACCTCATCTTCCAGGGGGAAACACTCTGAATTTGTATAGCTCATGAACCCCCACCAATGTGCTCCCCTTAATAATCAGCCAACTGGCACAATTAGCTCTTGAAGAAGGAATTAACTTGCACGTCAAAGCATAAAGAGTAGCTACAAGACATTCCTCCCATGATCCTGGGGCTTGCTTTCCCACAAATACACACAACATTCACAGGAAAAGTGGGTCAAGACATACATTTAATCATAGTGAGGTAAACAAGTAGCTAACAAAAGTGATGGAGGTAAGTCACACCTCCTGGAACTGCAGGGCCTGGAAGTCCTTTCTCTCTTCGTAGGGTCTGAACATAACTCCCCTTTTGTGTGGCATCTCTCCAGGTGATTTACTCAGCTGCATCCCCAGGAGCTTCTACTCCCTATGACCAGCTCTCTTAACTGCTACCAGGATCTTATTCCTCAAAGCTGCTTCCTCCCTACAGTGAGAGCTTCTCTTTTATCTGTGTTCTCTGGAGTGTCTCTGTTCCCTGTTGGATGTCATATCTCCTACTGGTTGAGTAGTTCCCCTTCCAAGCTATCTGGTGGATGGTGGGAGGTAGGATAGAGGGCAGAGAAGGGAAAAATTCCCTCTTCCAACCCCTGCTGGGGTCTCCTCCACAGTCTTCCAGCTTGCTGTCTCTACCACTCTCAATATCTGAAATTCATCCTAGGACTAGCAATTTAAAGACTTCAGAGGTGGGGCTAAGTAGTTTGCTGGCCTAATTATGTTGCTCCCTTTTGGATTCAAACAGAGAACCCTTCACATCTCAAAATGAGATCAAGATATAAACCTTTATAGTTTAGTTGAAAACTTAGTCACTGGTCCTCTTTGAAAACAAAGGATGAACAACAATCTGTGAGGAGTAGTAGCTGCCCCCCTGGGAACCCAAAAGGCCAGTTCCAGTTGGGCAATGCTGCTGTTTCCTCTTCCTCCTCCTCCTCCTCCTCCTCCTCCTCCTGCTCCTCCTCCTCATCTTCCTCTTCCTGCTTTTCTTCTGTGCATATGGGGAGTCATATCCTTACATATGCATGCTCTATCCAAATGAATATAAATTTTGATCACTTATAATTTACAAGGTATCTTTGGGTTTCGGAGCTAGATTTTTTTCTTCCCTAATTATTTATTCTATCATTTAAAAAATATTTAATATTTTATTTCCCCAGTTACATATAAAAACAATTTTAACATTTGTTTTTTAAAACTTTGAGTTCCAAATTCTCTCCCTTCCTCCCTCCCACATTGAGAAGGTAAAAAAAAAAACCCTCAAGAAAAATAAAGTAAAAAATGTATGCTTCAATCTGTATCCCAACACCATAAGTTCCTTCCCTAGGGATAGATAGCATTCTTCATCATAAGTCTTTCAGTGTTGTCTTGGATCATTGTATTGCTGAAAACAGCTAAGTGATTCACAGCTGGTCATCTTACAATATTGCTGTTACTTTGTACACAGTACATTTCACTTTACATCAGCTCAGTTAAATCTTTCCAGATTTTTCTGAGAGCATCATGATCATCACGTCTTATAGCACAATAGGATTCCATCACAACTACATACCACAGTTTGCTCAGCCATTCCCCAATTGGTGGGCAATCTCTTAATTTCCAATTCTTTGCCCCCAGAAAAGAGCTGCTAGAAATTTTTTTGTACATATAGGTCCTTTTCCTTTTTTATCCCTTTGGGGATACAGCCCTAGTAGTGGTATTACTAGGTCAAAGGTCAAAACCATGCTTACATGGTTTTACAGCCCTTTGATTATAGTTCCAAATTGCTCTATAGAATGGTTGAATCAGTTCACAACTCCACGAACAGTGCATTAATGTCCCATTTTTTCTCCCACACCCCCTCCTCCATTTGTCATTTTCCTTTTCTGTTCTCTTAGCCAATCTAATAGGTATGAGGTTGTACCTCAGAATTGTTTTAATTTGCATTTCTCCAATCAATAGTGAGTTAGAGCATTTTTTATATGGCTATATGGATAGCTTTGGTTGCTTCATCTGAAAATTGTTCATATCTTTTGATCATTTATCAATTGGAGAATGGCTCTTATTTTTATAAATTTGACTCAGTTGTCCATATGTTTGAGAAATGAGACCTTTATCAGAGA